CTGACCCCGGCGGGGCGGCCCGGTGAGGGCGGTGGGAAGGCGGTCTGGGCTTGGGCGGGTCCGAGCTCCCCTCCAAAATTCTGTAGCTGCAGACTGGGAGATTTGTGCCCGGAAGGTTGATGCAGGCTCTGAAGAAAGCGTGAAAGTGTTTCAGAGTTATTATTATTATTATTATTTGTTTGTTTCTGAGACAGGGTCTTGCTATGTAGTTCAGGCTGACCTCGAACTCACGGTGATTCTCCTCCCTCAGCCTCCCAAGTGCTGGAATTACAGGAGTGAGCCACTACGCCCGACTAGAATTTACTATTATCATTCTTGAGACAGAGTCTCCTTATTCAGGCTATACTTCAACTCACTGTAGAGTCCGGGCTGGCCTTAAATTCACTGTGATCCTCCTGCCTCAGCCTCCCCAGTGCTGGAGCCACTATGCCTGGCCATTTTGAAGAATTTAGAATATTAGGTCCTGGAGTGAAACTGACCTTTAGAATCTGTGCCAACGTTTAAATTTCTTTCTTTCAGAAGAGAAATCATCAAACTCATTTTTATTTTCCTTCACTGTCCCTTGGTGATAAATATCTGATTTACAGATGCCTGGCTGTGTAGGCTGCTGTGCGGAGAAGTGAGGGGAGCGTCCTCCCAGGCCTGGTCCCTTCTCTGCCTGGTCCTCCCTTTGTGTTCTGAACCCTAAGATTCAGCTCGGGTTAGAGTTTCTACCACAGAGTAGATCAAATTGGAGGTGTACTCAGCCTACTTGTTTCTAGCTGTTTAAATCTTGCATAGCTCAGAACTTTCACTCATCACTTGGACGGAAGGGAGAGCTTCCTAGCTGAACTTTCCTCCTTTCTTCCACTTACATTGCACGCGCGCACATGCACATGTGTATGTGGCGCTGGGGTTTTATGTGTGTGTGTGTCTGTGTGTGTGTGGCACAGGGCTCTTGCCCCTAACTGAGCTACAGGGCTTTTGTCCCTTCTGAGCTGCATCCCTAACCGTTTGTTTCTTTGTTCTTCCTTCTTTTGAAACAGTTACCTGACTGGGCTCAAACTTGCAACACTTTAGCAATCCATCCACTGCTAGTACTGAATAAAATATTTATTTTACTTTTCTGGTTTTATTCTAGTTGGTAGATCTGAAGGCTGAACTCTTCCGAAAACAAGAAGAATTCAAACAAGAAAAACTTCTAAAAGATTCTGGAGTTTTGGGAAAACCGAAGACAGCTAATAAGGTACAAATGCGATCTGATGGTCCCCACTATGTCCACATGGGCAAAATCACCACCCTTATGCTTTGAAAGTGTCAGCAGTATCTGTACATGTGAGCCATAAGGAAAAAATCCTGTCTAGTGATTGGGTACCTGCATGAAACGTGTTAAATATTAAAGCAGGAATTTGTATGATTCTTTGAAAGCGTATCATGATACTCTTTTGAACTCTTTTTGGAAAAGATGATTTTTTTTGAGATAGCATCTTGCTATGTAGTTCAGGCTGATCTTGAACTCACTATGTAGCCTAGGCTGGCCTCGAACTCATGGTAATCCTCCTGCCTCAGCCTCTTGAATGCTGGAATTACAGGCGTGTACTACCATGCCCAGCAAAACATGATATTAATACGTCCATTGTTCATATTGTCCTCGGAGATTATCTGTTACATAGATGCTCTGTATGCAAACAGACATAACAAAGCGTAGCAGGCCCTTTAAGAGTTGTAAATGGTGTTCTAGTTTTGTACGTAATGGTCTGTTATTTGTATTACTAATTCTTTGCAATTGTACATTTTCTTTAGAGTCTTGAATTAGGTTGTGATCATTTAGGAGGTTCAGTAGGTCTGTGGAGTGGTCTAGAGAAGTTCATATATCACAGTTTACAGTTCAGGGCTTTTCTGCTCCAGCGACCCCACAGATGGTAAGTATCTGCAGCACACAGCTGTTGAAAGAGGACGTTATCCCACTGGTCTTCTGACCAGTAGAGATTGTCTTGCAATTGTGTGGTCTTTCTCTTGTCCCTTGGAATTGTTCTCCAGAAACCGAGTATCTGGAGCAAGCAGAATGCAGGAGTTTCAAATCGCGCTGAGAAGGATACGGAGCAGAAGATTGAGGAGCTGAAGACTTTAGACAAAGCAAGGTACGTATGGCTGAGCTCCGAAGTATGTGGGTCTGTCTGAGACCACCCACGCAGGGAGTGAGCTTTCAGGTTTTACTCGTTTTGATTTATAAATCTGATGTCCAGCACCAGTTCAGCCAAGCGTTCTATAAACATAAACACAGTTGCCCTGACATCTGAGGCACGCTGGCTCCAAGACCCCCTTCCTGCAGATGACAAAACCAGGGGTGCTCACGTCTGTCATGTGATAAGATGTAGCCTTTGTACACAATCCACACCAACTTCCGGGAGCTCTCGGTCCTCTCAACAAGTTGATGTTAGTACAGTATGAACGCTCTATAAACAGCTGTGTGCTGTGGTGTTAGAGAGTAATGACAAGAAAATATCTGTTTCTGCTATGGCTGCAACCATTGTAGGCCTAGTGGAGGAGTACCTGTCAGCAGCTATGCAGAGTTTCTTTCCTTTGTTTTTAATTAAGTTTATTGGTACATTTTATATATACATGGTGATCATATTCGTCAGAAGGAATTGGAGCCTGGACATGATATATCTTGATTCTTTTTTTCCTCATTCCCCTTCCCTCCCTTCAACCCTCCCTCCCCTCCTATTTACAAAGCTTAGTTTCCATTTTTTCCTTCTTTTCTCATTTTTTTTCTTTTGTTTCCCCGCTCCTTAGTTTCCCTTCCCATTTGAACATTTTCTTCCTATTTCACGACATCCATTGTACATTTTTTTTTTTTGGTACCAGGAATCGAACTCAGAACCTTGCGCTTGCCAGGCAGGTGCTTCATTTTGGTCCTTATTTACACTTCTAGTTTCTCACACCAGAGAAACAAGTTGGTATTTACACATGTGTGTCTGATTTATTTCACTTGAGGGTGTGATGTCAAGGTGCTGTGCAGCGTTCTTGCAGATGTGTTGGATTTGCAGTTAGGGGACCTGGGAGGTAGCCTCTGGCTGGGGAGGCCAATTGTCCTCTGACGCAATATAAGGCCCAAGTCAGCTTTTGTCTCCTAAGACACAAAGTCCTGCTTTGAGTTCTCATTAGTCCTTGATGCTGTCAACAGGGCATCAGGGTGTCTTTGTGTTTTGGCGGTTGCTTGGGGCTGGAAGTGGAGGCACACTCTGCCCCCACCCCTAACCCCTAACCCCTAAGGATGCATTTGGGAGACATGTTCCCAGGAGTGCTTCTGGGCAAGGGTTAGGACTTTAGCACTTAAGAGACCTAAACTTTTTTCCCCAAACCAACAGAATGGGTGAAGAAAAGGTGAAAGAAGAATGCAGTGAGTGTTCTGTACTTCCGTCAGCTGACATCTCTCACACTGGCTTCCCGTCCCTCCTTTCTCTTTTTCCCCACTCTTTCCCTCTTCCACAATAAAAGCTGCCCTTGTAGAGCTTGGTTGCTTTTGGAGCAACCTAGGTGAGCGATGGTAAGAGCCTTCCGAGGAGAGAAAGAGGAGGAGGTGGCAGGGCGTTGAGAGTCTGGTGTCGCCATAGCTCTTACAGGCAGGGCCATTGTGTTTTGCTTCTGTCTGTGGGAGCCAGTGCTCAGAATGGTGAAGTAACTTCTCACAGCCTCTGGATGCCATTAGACGTGAAATTGCCTAGCCAGGCGTGGTAGCACAGGCCTGTAATCCAAGCACCTGGGAGGCTGAGGCAGGAAAATTGCAAGCCTGAGCCCAACCTGGGCAACCTAGCAACATAGCAAGACCCTGTCTCAAAATTAAAAACTAAAGAAGGGCTGGGGATGCTGCTCAGAGTGAAGGCCCTGGTTTCAATCCCTGGTACTGTAGAAAAGGAAGGAAGGAAAGAAAGGGGAAAGATAAAAGAAGGCAGGAACTCTCCCTTTGTGAGTATACGTCATATTCCCGAGAGAAGGCCCAGTCTTTGGGGGCCGTCCCTCCCATTGTGGAGTATTTCCGCAGTGAAGAATGTCGGGCCCTCTTACACAGGCTGGGCCCACTGGAAAAAAGGTCACCAGAGTCAAGCAGAGGCTGCTTTGAAAAGACATGTAAGAAGATGCGCTCTAAGTCCCTGAGAGAAGCCTGGTAAGCCGTAGGTGACCGATGGCTGAAAACTGATGCCAGCTTTGCCGGGAAGTTGGTGACCCTGTTCACAGTTTGCTGTGGCAGTGTTTGTGTGTAGAGACATGTCTCTCTGGCGGGTGACTTCCGATGCATTTAGTAGTTAAAGTGAGTGGCTGGAATTATAACTTGGTTCACTCCTCGGTCAGATATTCACCTGGCAGCTGCTGCGCCCCTGATGTGGCTTCCAGCCAGGGCCCGGCGACCACTGACGTGCAGGAGAGCACAGCACCGCCCTCTCCTGCCTCCTCGCTCCTTCAGCACAGCTGCTTGAGGCCTCTCGTCAGGCCAGGCGGCAGCTGTGAGGCCAAAGTGGCAGCCACCACGTCAGGAGGGACGCTTGTAAAACCGCTTGTAATACCTGTCTCTTTCTCTCTTAGGGAAAAATTGGAAGAAAAGGCCAAATTATATGAAAAAATGACAAAAGGCGACTTCATAGGTAAATACAACCATTTATACTCTCGTCTCCTGTAATTCATGCAGATCGTTGACATCATATCATGAAGACAACTAAGAAACTTAAAAGATCAGATCACTCCTTACTTCCTCCGGCACCACAGACGGGAAACCTGTCACTGGCCAATGGTGTGGGGGTCTGGGCAGAACCAGGGGCGGCAGAGGGGACAGGCACTGGCCGAGTCTGTGCCTCTGCCCTCGGCACGGTGGCAGAGGGGAGGAGGAGGAGGAGGAGGACTGGGATGCAGTCGCCATTACAGTCCTCTGCTGAGCTGCGAGATGACACAGCTGTTCGGGGTCAGGCAGCATGGTGCAGAACCACACTGCAGAAGCGGGGCACGACGGTACCGCTCCTGTCACCTGGCTGGACTGAGGACCTTGCCCTGTGCGTGACCGACTTTCTCCGCTGGCCTGCAACAGCCATGTGGGAAGGGAATCGGTGTTGACCGGGAGCTGGTGTTACCTTTCCTTTGCGTTTCTTCTGTTTTCAGGCTTGTGTCTGTGATGGGCTTGTAATTGCTTTACAGTTGTGGTACAGGACCTCCCTTCCCTCAGACACCCCAGACACAGAAGCCTTGTTCACAGTGAGATAAGGCGAGACAGAGCAGCGCGGGTTCCACTGCTGGAGAGAGGAGGCTGTGGTCGGGAAATCCTCTGGGACTCCAGGGAGCTCTGCTGCAGGGCCTGGAGCTGTGGGCCTGGAGGAAAGACCCTGCCAGGAGAGCGGGGAGCCCCAGGAAGGATGAAGGGCAGACCTCGGAGGCGGGAGAAGCTCTGCGCCTTCCTGCAGCCCCTGTGCCTGGCGCTCCTGTCCTCTGTCTCCTCCCTGCAGAGGCTTTTTGTGGCTGAGTTCTTTTCTGATTCAGAATCTACTCGCGTTGTTGAGGTAGAAGCCAGGTGCAGAGAGTGTGGGCACGGGGCTCTGGCCGTGTGGAGCCCGCAGGTCACCTGCTGATGGGCACTGGGTCGTGTTGGGGCAGGTCAGGTTTTGGTGCCACGGTGCCACTTCTGTAAGGGCAGTGACACTGCCGCCTTGTCAGGGGAGCCTCCTAGCTGTTCCTGACCACTTAGTTGCTGTCCTGGGAGAGGAACCTGGCACGAATCCAGCTCAGAACCTCACCCACATTGCCTTGTGAGTGTGGCCGTCCTGGGCTGCTGTGCGCACATGGGTTTCAGCTCCTGGGGGGCGGTGTCAGCACCCTGGGGCAGACGGCAGCTCACACACCCTGTGCCCTGCAGCAACACCAGCCTGTGTTAGGAGGTGAGGTCCTTTGGCCTAAAAAGAACTCGGGTGACTTCTCCCCATCTGCCGCCTTTGCTCTGCCTCCTGTGCTACCATAACACAAGCCCCTGTGGAGGAAGACGAGTCGCACCACGGGCGGGAAGGGCCACTGTCCTCCTCTTGTGACAGGAGAGCTGCTGTCCTGTCGTCTTCTGCAGCTTGGCATTAGCTGTGTGGGGCTGTGTCTTCAGAGCAGCGCTGAGCTGGCCCTGCTCACGTGGATCCTGAGGATCCCATGAGGCATGGGGACGTTTGCTCGGCGTTTCCGTGTTCCCAGCTTCCTTCGAGCCACCCCTGCGCTGTTCCACTGTAGTTTCCTGCTGTGCACTGAAGTCCAGTTTTGTGTCCTAGACGAAGAAGTGGAGGATATGTACCTTGTGGACTTCACCCAGAAGATCATAGACAAACGCAGAGAAATGGAGGCGCTGGGCACCAGTAGAGAGCCCCAAAAGGCGGGTGACAGGGACGAGGACGACGATGTTCCTGGCGGAGATGTGCCCCCTCCCCAAGACCCCAGCGAAGAGTGGTGGGTACACTCGGGCAGCCCGGTCAGGGATCCTGTTTGGCTGTCACCAGTCCGTTTCTCCTCATTCCCCTGCATTTCCTGTCTGCTGAGAGCCCTGGAGGTTGGGTTGGGCGGGTCACTGCAGGGGTAGAAGCCAGTGAAGAGAGCCACACTAACGACAAGTGAGCCCGCCTGTGCCAGGCCCAGCGCTGGCGGACGATGTCCTGCCCGTTGTTCTGCAGAAGCCTGATGCTCCGCGGCCCGTGCTTGGGCTCACCTCTAGCATGGCGCAGACCTCACGGGAAGTTGCTCTGTTTCCAGCGAGGGAGTGCAGGGTGGGCATGGAGCCCTCCTGTGGCAGAGCCTCTTGCTGGCGGTGAGGCACAGAATCGTGGGCCTTGGGCAGCCCCAGTTCCACCTTCTGCCTGTGGAGGCTGGTTTCCTCCCCTGTAGGGCCAGTGATGCCTGGGTCCGTGGTCCTTCGCCTCAGTCTCCCCCAGGATGTAGGGTGGGCTGAGCTTAGATGGGAGCCATGACTGTGTGCTGACATCTCTGCCGGTGATGGTGGCGCTCCGACACCGTGCAGTGGAGCCGAGACCCTGAGAGATGCGCTGCTGGGCCTCACCCTGCTTGCCTGCTGCAGGGCTCAGGTGTCCCGATGTTGGGTGGTGCTTGGCTCTTGGTGGTTCAGAGGGTGTCCTCATCAGTCAGGAGCACCCTTGTCCTTAGAATGAGGCAGTTGTCTTCTCCCTGCTTCTAGAAGCTTCTGAGCAGTCAGGGCCTATTTAGGTGGGTATATGACTGCATGCTATAAAGACCGAAGACAAGAGCACCAGTCTCCTGCCTGCGCCTTTCCTCACCTTTGCTCATCACTGAACTCAGGGCACTCAGTGTGCTTCCTGTTTCCCGGTCCTGCCTCGCGCCTCTCATTGACACAGGTTAGGCCTCGTGGCCAGGAAAAGACCTGATCCAGGCTCTGGGGGCCTGGCCTGCGCCTTGGCTTCCTGAGCCTCAGAGATGGTGGGACTCTGGCTGCCTCTGGCCTCCTGCTGGCCCAGGCCTGTCCCTTCGGGGCAGGGTGGGGCCGGAGGGAGATGGGGAGCAGCAAGCGGTGGCTGTGGGTGGCTGCGCTGCCTCCCGTCTGTGTTGAGCAGGGATCTGTGTGTTGGGGAGGCCAATGTCAGAAGCAGAGGAGGCTGCGATTGCTTTTCACAGCAGAAATCTTAATCCCTTTTCAGAGGCTCAGCGTCTCTTTAGATTGTCGCTGTTAATGTCTGTATGATTACAAGCAATGCGCCGACCATGTGAGGCGTTTGGGGGCGGCTGGAGGTGTCACTGCCGCCATATGGTGAAGGAAGACGGACTGCAAGCAGTTTTGACACTTTTCTGTTTTTAAATTAAGCTCCAAAATTGTAACTGCTTGTAAAATCCTTTCAGTAGTGCGTTCAATCCCAGGTGGTGGAAAATCTGCCAACAAAAATACTATAAATAATTACGCAGACCATCTGGCTTGGTGCTTTTGTCCCCATTCATTTAAAAAAGAAAGGAACTGTTTTCTGCAATTAGAGGTTTTATTTTTTGGGATAATCAGCCGTCAGATTGCAGTAATGGATTCCCAGATGTTCAGTGTTTAAATCACAGGCCAACTGGAATCAGCATTGCTTGGACAGGAAGGAATTACCAAATAAAACAAAGCCCTCAGGCCGGGTGTGGTGGGGCACACTGTGATCCCAACACTGAGGAAGCTGAGGCAGGAGGATTGCTGTGAGTTCAAGGCCAGCCTGGGCTACATAGTGAGTTCAGTACCAGCCTGAACTACAGAGCAAGACCTTGTCTAAAAAAAAAGAAATGGGCTGGGGATGTAGCTCAGCAGCACAGTGCCTGCCCAGCAAGCACGAGGTCATGAGTTCGATCCTTGGTACCAAAAAAAAAAAAAAAAAAAAGAGAGAAAAACCACAAAGCCCTCAGCTGAGTGGCATCTGACCCTGAGTCAGGCCCCAGTTCATACTTGTTGGCCCCTTCTGCCTCCTGAGCACCTGCTACAGGCTGTGGTAGATTCCCTGCCTGCAAGCACACAAGTAAAAGCGTGTTGCCACAAGTAAGAAAGGGTTCCCTGTGAGCCTGTCCTTGTGTGCTGCCTGGGAAGTAGTCACGGTTTTCATTTTGCCCTGTCGCCGGCACTGCCTGTCTCCCCATTCAGTTTGGGCGAAGACTAGGAGAGCGCTACGCTACTTCACCTCCTTCTAATAAGGAATCCATGCAGTGCCATGACGTGCATTAGGAGAGTTTTAGCTCCTTGGGAGAAGCCGTATGAACTAGAAGAAATAAGGGAACAAATAAAAATGCAGACTTGAGAGGACAGGACAGTGAGCAGCAAGAGTCTGGGTGCAGAGCGAAATTATTCAGCTGCAGATAAAACACTTGGGGTTTCCTAAGCTGGATGAAAGGAAGTTCTTAGAAGTCACGACAAATTTCTGTCTTTGAATTAGAGATTTAAATAATGGGTTGCTCTTCGTTCTGAAGCTAAGGTTTATAGAGCTATGCAGAGCACACGCTGAGCCTCCGTGGGAGCAGCTTATGTGGGCAGTGGCCCAGGCTGAGGGTGCTTCTGCCGGCGATTCCTCATTCCTCTGTGTGTGGCTCTCTGGCTGGGGACCCCAGCGCATGCCCAGCCTTCCCACCTTCCCACTTACGTTTCAGGGTGGATTACGTGGACTCTCTGGGGAGATCTCGGCGCTGCATGAGGAAGGATTTGCCAGACCTGCTGGAGATGGACAAGAACCTTCAGGGGAGACTGTGAGTGCTGGATGTGTGGCCCTCGCCTGCTCTCAGATGCGGCCCTCGGGAGGTTTTGTGCGAGAGGCGGTTCCTGTAAGATGTTTCTAGTGGATGAGAATATTTGTCAGAGCAGTTTTATGGTTAGCACACCCACACACACATGATCTGCATTCAGAACAACCTGCATAGCTGATGGTCCTTTTTGGTTTTGATTACTCTTTTTTGAGAAGGGGTCTTGCTGTGTGGCCCAGGTGGTCTCGAACTCACAGGCTTGAGCAGTCCTCCTGCCTCAGCCTTATAGGTGGTGGGGACCCAGGCAGGACTGGCTCTGATGGCCCAGGTTGCACAGCTGCTTGCAACAAGGGCTCATTGCAGTTGAGAGTAGAGACAGAGCCCGGGCCAGCCCAGCCAGTGACCGTGGGGCACAGACTCACCCTGAGAAGAGACCCTTATCCAGGCCCAGGAGGCCAGGGTGGCAGGGAGCATCTCACTTTCTTTACACATCTTGGAAGTCAGGGCCTTCGTTAAAAACTAATTTGGGGGGACCTATGGCAGCCCCGTGGGTGACTTGCTAAAGTCGTAGAAAGGAGAAACTCTCTTACACGGGCACTTCTGTGCCTTCCTGCACCCTGCAGGTTGGCCTGGGCCCAGTGCAAGGAGCGGGCCCAGAATCCCTGGCCTGAGCAGGACAGGAGGCTGCCGGAGGGAGCTGGAGTCTTCTCCTGCCTGGGCTCCTCCACTGTCAGCCCAGGACTGGGTGCTGAGTAGGAGACGGGTCCCACTGTGCCAGCAGTGAGTCTCGGCTGGGTGTAAGGAGCGAGAGTGGTTGAGGGGGCTTTTTTTCTGGAGGTAGTGGCCAGAGACCCCTGCCGGGACCGGGCTCTTAGCGTGGCTGAGCATGGCTGTTTTGCAGTGCTCACCTGGCGGTGTTGTGTCCCTTCCCTCTCGGGCTAGTTTCGTGAGTCCTGCTAATGAGAAGACACTGCTGTCAGAGGACATGAGGAAGGAGCTTCAGCGCCAGCAGTGGGAGGAGGAGGAGCGGGAGGCCCTGCGGAGGCCGGTGGGGCCCGTGCACTACGAAGACATCCGGGAAAACGGTATCTTTTTCTCGTAGCGCTGACCACGCGGCAGCACAGAGAGGGCTGGTCACAGCACAGCCCGCGCAGACACAGGCTGTGCTCCGCTTGCTCTCCGGCCTAACAGTCCGCACACTAGGACGGTTTCCTAGCACAGGGCCATGAATCTATGAGCTCCTTACCCGAGCAAAGTGAGGCGGCAGGGGCAGAAACTTGGGGCTTTGGCTGGGCTCCTCCCCCACAAGCAAGACGGAAGCTGGCCGCTACTGCCGCGGCCGCCGCCACTGCCATTACTGCTTCACGGCCTTTTTCTTTAAACGTGCGCACATCACGCTTCTGGCTTTGCTGGGAAGTTTGCCGTGAGTGTCATGACTGACGGGAAATCTAATCTTCTGAACAATTGGACTCTTTCCAGAGGCCCGGCAGCTTGGTGTTGGATATTTCGCCTTTGCCCAAGACAAAGAGCTGAGAAACAAGCAAATGAAAACTCTGGAGATGCTACGGGAGCAGGTATGCTAGCTCCTCACGGGAAGTGGGAGGGAGGGGCTGAGCAGGGCGGAGCCATTCTGTGGGTTAAATTAGGAATTTAAATTGATTCTCAAAGTGCCATCGTGTGGCTAGGCATTGTGGCGCACACCTGTGATCACTTGGGAGGCTGAGGCAGAAGGATCACCACAAGTTGGAGGCCTGCCTGGGCTACAGAGAGAGTTAAAGGCCAGCCTGGATTACATAGTGAGACCCTGGCTCTAAAAACTAAGAAAAGTGACATTGAGTAAAGGTGATTGCCATACTGTTTTGGTATTTCAAAGCGTAAAAGTAAAACTGGTTCAGAAGTAACCTATGTCTAACGTCTGGTTTCCACCTTGAGGTAGCTGGCTGAAAACATAGAAAGTTATTTAAAGGATTAATGAAGAAAATTGGATGGCTTTCTTTTCTTCTCTGTCTTCCTTCCCTTACTTCCTTTCTTCTTTTTCTCCTGTTTCTTTTTTCTCTCTCACTATCTCTGTCTCTGTCTCCCTGCCTCTCTCTCTGTCTCTCTCGGTTTTGGTGGTCCTACGCATTAAACCCAGGAACTTCATGCTAAACCACTGCTCAAACTTGGTTTATTTTTCATTTTGAGACAGCATCTTGCTAAGTTTCCCAAGCAGGGCTCAAACTTGGCAATTCTCCTGCCTCAGCCTCCAAGTGCTAGGATTATAGGCGTGCATCCCTGTGTCCAGAGTGGGTGGTTTTCTTGAATCTAAAGGGTCCAGGGTGCTCTAGACTTCGTAAGACATTAGAGGCCTGTGTGGAGTGCCTCGTAGGTCTTCATTTTCAGGGTCTCATAGCCTCTTAGCGGTACCGTGAAAATCAGTCTGTTCTTAGAAGAACATTATTTCAACGTTTTGAATAAACATTGTGAATTTGGCTTCAGGCAAATAATTTTTAACTTTGTTCTATTTAGACAACAGATCAGAGAACAAAACGAGAAAACATAAAAGAGAAACGTAAGGCCATATTAGAAGCAAGACTTGCCAAACTTCGACAAAAAAAGATGAAAAAATCAAAAGAAGATGGGACAGAAGAAGAAAGTGGAGGTGCGTCACAGCTTCAATTCTGCGCGTGGGAGGGGAGGGAGGCTCGGCGTCCCCCGCTGTCTGTGACACGCTGGGCAGCGTGGGCAGCAGTGATTGGCTTTACCTCGGAGCAGGCAGCACGCGGCCGGGCGCTGCTAGGCGCAGTTCATAAGCGGAGTGAGTATCGTAGACGGCGGACAGGGGTGTTAATGGCTGTCAGTTGCTTCTTAGAGGGGCACGGTTTAGTAACAGACTTAGAGAAAAGGTATCTTCAAATTCAAGTGTTCAGGGCCTGGGGATTTAGGTCAGCGGCAAAGCACCTGCCTAGCAAGCGCAAGGTCGTGAGTTTGATTCCTGGTACCAGAAGAAAAACAAAACAAAAGACAAACAAACAAACAAAAACAACAAATTTAAGTGTTCATGTGTATGAGTTGACACTTAAAATTTGAAATTTCATTTTATATTTGAAGCATATGGAAGTGGAGCATTGTGCACACGGCCGCACGCAGTGTTCGTGTGCGCACACTGTCGGGTTTCATCCGGGCAGGCGTGGCCATGTCTTCAGACTTCTGCTGAGCTTTCACGGCAGAAACTCCCAGTGCCCTTTCTTGAGCACGAAGATGGGGGTTCTGTCCATGGCTGTAGCCTTCCTACTGGGATAGACTGGTCGCGTTGTCTTTGGAAAGCATATCACGCGGTTGGGTGGTCCAGCAAGGCGTTCAGGACGTGCAGGCCGCCCAGGCAGGAGCGCTGCTGAGTGCGCAGTTCCGCGCTTGGGGCCAAGTCCCTTGGAGCCCTGTGAGCACTGCGCTGTGTGAGCCCGTGTGAGCAGACTCAGGTCGGAGCTGAGCCGCCCTGACAGAGGGACTCCTGAGGAGATGCGCGTTGGCTTCTCTCTCCCGAGTCAGAGCAGGCGGCCGGGGTGCAGCTGGGGCAGCCCAGCCCTGCCCGAGGCCATGGAGTCCCTGGCTTCTTTCAAGCATTGGTGTCAGCTCATGGCTGACACCTGCCCCATGGCACCTGCTGCTGATCCCACCCACGGGGAGGCGCAGTGCGCGTGTTCCCATGGGAAGGTGGGTCTGAGGTTACCACTGTCCTGTTCCCCCATTGGGTGAGCTCAGGCCCACAGCTGTGCCCAGCTGCAGAGGAAGCTGGAAAATGGCCTCCCCGGGAAGGAGGCCACGCACCCAGCCAAACCTGGGGGCAGGCATTCTGTTCCCAAGGGCCGAGGGGAGCTAGGATATAGGGACAGAGACGGCCTCACTGCGGCTGAGGGTGGCACTTCCTCGCCTCCGGGCCAAGCTCTGAAAAGATCCAGGGAAGAGGAAGAAGTGGAAAGAGCGCCGGCTCGGGGGTGTGGAAGCCCTTCCCGGGGTCTCTCACGCTGTGTCTCCTGCGCATTTCATTCCCAGAAGATGGCGCTGCCACCAGAGCATTTTCCAGAAAACCATTTGCTATAAAAATTATGAAGTGTGGCCCACATGGAGTAGCCCACAGCGGGCTGCGCCGGCTCACCTGGCTCCTCGCGCTTTGTCACTCACTGTGAGATTGGAGGCTGGCGTCCGGCTGTTGGTGGAGACGCAGAGGGGGAGTGGGCGGCATGGGCTGGGTCCCTGTGTCGCTGGGGTGAATTTTCCCGCCGGTGAAGTGGGAACAGTGAGTCCTTTCAGCTTCACAGGACTCAGATGACCTGTGCGCGGCACTGAGAATGTATGACCTGGGCCGCGGCAGCCTCCCTGTAAACGCTGGTCATTACCGTTACTTCCAGGATTACCACTTTCAACAGCGTATTCTAACAAGGTCTTCTTTCCTACAGACATAGACGGGGATGCTGTTGGACCTTTGCCACCAGAACCTGAGCCCGTGCCGACCCCGCCTCCGGCCCAGAGCAGCAAAGTAGAGGTCATCACCCAGGAGAGGAGGGACACCCGGCCTGGGGTGCCTCACATTCGGGAGTGGGACCGCGGGAAAGGTGAGGGCTGCGGCGGGGGCTTCTGCCCAGTGACACTTGCGTGCTCGCCTCATGTGCTGCTGGGACCCAGGACCTCGTGCGTGCGTGCTGGGCAGGCGTGAGCACTGAGCCGCCCCCAGCCCACTAGGAGTGATAGTTGGGGGCTGACCATCAGTTGGGGGCTGAGCGATAGTTGGGGGTGGGTCAGCGGCCTCCCAGCTAGTGTAAAAGGCTCAGTTGTCGGGGGTGGGTACAGCATGCGTGGTCCTTGGAGGCTCCTGGAAACCTCAGATGGCTGATCGGGGTTCCCGTCCTGCCCCGCAGGGGTGGTTCCGGTGCTCTTGGGGGAGATTTTGGCCTGTGTTTCTCCTGAGTGGTGTCACGGGCTGCCTGTCGGGAGCCAGTGAGAGCCTCGTGGTTGGGGTGCTGAGGGCTGTGCGGGGCCGTTCCTTCAGCTGAGTGAGGATGGTTCCCTGCCAGTCCCCAGCCTGGCCTCACGTGTGCCCCTGTGGGACGTGCAGCTTTGCTCTGAGTTCACCGTGGGGCCCGCAGCGACGCGTCCGGAAGACTGGCTCATGCAGTCTTTCAGGGACCATTTCAGTGGGACGTGAACACATGCTGCTCGAGGGAGTAAGACCCAAGGACAAAGGAGAAATGCCAGGCCACTGTGACAAGTGGAGGTGAAACAAATACCCCTTAGATCTGGACGCGTCCTTCCGGCATCTTCCGAAACTGCCAAGGACACGGCCTACAGGGACGTCACGCGGATGATGTGACGGCCTCACTTCATCGTCCCTCCAGTTCACTTCAGCACTCTCTTGGCGTTGCCCACAGCCTGCCAGCGCTCTCCTCACAGCCCTGCTCTGATCCTGCCCTGTTGGGAAGCAGTCACTGCCTTTCCTTAGCCTGGTCTCACGCTTTTTGCAGGTGTTGCTTATATAGCTTGTGATGGGATTTTCTTGGTGCTATCCTTTCTCTGGAGAACTCTGGTGGCTTTTAAGAAATCTATAAGTTTGGCTGGGCGTAGTAGCCCATGCTTGTAACCCCAGTACTGGGGAGACTGAGACAGGAGGACTGCTGCAAGTTCAAGGCCAGCCCGAACTATATAGCGAGACTGTGCCTCAAAGAACCAAAACCAAAAATAAAGAAAGAAAGAAAAGAAATCTGTAAGTATAGCTGATTCATGGGTGGGTTCTAACACTACTCTTTCTCGTTGTCACTAGAATTTTCCTTCGGACACTGGTCCAAGAGGCAGTCAGCTCTCCGGGCTGAGCGAGACCCCGAGTTTGCGCCGCCGTCGGATTACTTCATGGGTCAGAAGAGAGTGGGGTCTTCGAGCAACCAGACATGGAGCAGACCCGGGCCGGTACCAAGCAGCCCCGGGCAGCAGGCGGGCCAGGGCCAGGAGCCCCACTCTGTGCACGTGCCACCCACACCTGCGCCCAGTGGCCCCCCGCGGGCCCCCACGGTCACTTTTGCAACTCTGGATGACATGATCTCCTACTATAAACAAGTGACATGACCCCGGCGGCAGCGCTGTGACTCGGCTTGTACTGTGGGTGCGGTGGGGACAGTGGGCCTGGGGGCTGAGCCGGCCTTCATCCTCGCAGAGGGGTAGTATGTCCTCCGCCCCTTGCTCCACCTCCTCCCTGGTGCAGCGCAGCCTCCCCAGTGTACCCCTGCACAGAGCGGGCAAGTCTGCCGTAAAACGGGATGCTGCGGCGCCTGTGGCCCTGTCTGTGTCTCCCCACGCCCTGGCTTGGGGTTAAGGGATCTGTTCCACTCCTCTGCCTGCACGGGCAGGTGGAGGCTTCCCTCCTAAGGCTCAGCTTTTAGTGAGGTGGAGGAGTAGGGGCCTGGGGCGCCCAGTGGGAGGGCCTTGTGTGGAGGCAGAAGGATCCTGAGTCTGGGGCCTCTGGGGCTGAGGTGTGGGACACAGTCCTGTCGGGCAGCAAGAGACCAGGTGGAGCAACACCTCCCTAATCCAGGAAGGCAGCAGGGAGTCGCCAGCTTCCACTGTCGTGCTGTCCTGTCCCCCATGCCCCTGTGCACCGTGGCCATCCGATATGTGTGTCGGTGATCGGGCATCCTGGGGCTGCAGGGCATGGTCAGGGATGGTGTTCCTAGTTGTCAGAGCTTTTAGCTCCTGCACTGCCACCCAAAGCCCCTCCTGCCAGGCCTGCCTTCTGGGTCAGACTTGGGCCTGACTGGCGGAAGAGGCAGGTCTTTGTCCTCTCTGATAGGGTGTCATGTGGTCACTACCCTGCGCCTGGATTCTGTCATAGCTGCGGGCAAGTAGCAAGAGATTGGTCACCAGGCTGAGGGGCTCCCACAGCCAGCTCCAGGCTGGTGGCTCCTGAAGATCTCAGCACAAGTTAATTTTAGTGCTAGAGGCTGAGCCCAGGACCTTCACATTGAGCTGCATCCCAACCTTTTCTTCATTTTTAAAACCAGGGTCTCTAACTCACCAACGTGCCCAGGCCATCCTGGATCTTAAATCCTCATGCATCAGCCTCCCAGCATACCAGGATTACAGGTGTGCACGACTGTGCCCGGCTAAGCCCAGGTCTCCGAAGTTCCCTGAGGTGTGGGGGGAAAGGGAGTGAGGAAAGAGCCCTCCCTCACGCGGACCTCTCCGTGGCCTGGACTCCGGCCCCTCGTTGTGGATGAGTGTGCCTGGCTGTGGCACAGCTGACGTGTGGCAGGGCCTGGACGTGTGCTTTCGCTAGTGCTCATGGCTCTAGTCTTGCCCAGCTTGCAGCAGGTTTAGACAGAGATCCAAACCCTAGAAACTTGCCTCTGAGCCCCAGACCAAGGGCAAAGTGCTAGACCTCTGTCTTCTATTGCAGGCCTCACCAGGCTAACAACTAAATAAATGCACACTAAACCGCTAACCTCGCTTGCCTTGTTTGCAGAAATCGATAGACTGATCCTAACACTTGCCTGGGTGTGCAAGAGGCCCGGAGTGGCCACATTAATCCTGTGGGGAGCAAAGCTGGGACTGGCTTCATGGTCTGAAGATGTCCTACAAAGCCACCACGATCCCTGGCACAGGTGAAGGAATAGAGAAACCCCCGCTCCTGATCGGCAGCTGTCAGCAAGGGCACCAGCCCCACCGGGAGAGCAGTGTCTGCGGGTGTTGTGCCCCCTCCCAGGCGGAAGCCCCTGGCTTTTCCACAGACCCTGCACAGAATCAATGCCCAGTGGACCGAGAGCTCAAAGTAAGGGTTAAGGCAACAAGACCATCTGAAACAGCTTCCAGGATAGGGAAAGGAGACGGAAAGCAAAAGTGGAGTACTAAAGAATGCAGTCACTAGACTTGGAGTGACGAGAAACGTGGGAAAGAGGAGGAGGCAAACACCAAGTGGATGATGTGGGGGATGGGAAGGGGACGCATTGGTAAGGAGAGCGCCCAGAGGACGCGTGAGGCAGGTGGAGTAGGACGAAGGGGCAGAGCTGGCGGGCACTGGGGAGCCCTTTCCTGGGAGCAGCCGGGTGCTAACAGTGGTCACCTGCTCCTGAGCTGCTGGGCCGTGGGGCGTCCACGAACAAGCTGAAGTCAGGTGTCTGGGAGTTGTGAACAGTTTCCAGACCTCCCCCCTACACGCACACACACACACACACACACACACACACACAGAGTGTAAATTTAGTTCCGTGCCTTGTGAACCCAGAGTTCAAGGGTTCATGCCCTCGGGAGGTCTCCCTGTGCTGCCCAGCCTGGTTTGTGCCAGGGTGTGCGTCCAGCAGGTGGCACTAGAGTTCTCGGATTCAGATCCCGGCTCTGCAACAGCGCGGTCAGTGGAATCAGCATGTGGCCTCCAGGGTCATTTTCTGTTTTCTTGAAATCCCACTAAGAAGGTGGCATTAACTTTATGATACACTGTATTCGACCCAGCATATCCAAACAAGCCTTTCAATGTGCCACATTACTGAGATACTTTACATTTCTTTAAAACACTCTACGCCAGCCTAGCTCGCTGCGGGTGCTAAGTTTGTTTTTTTTTTTTTTTTTTTTTTGGTTTTTCTCCGGTACCGGGAACCGAACTCACGACCTTGCGCTTGCCAGGCAGGCGCTTTTGCCACTGAGCTAAACCCCCAGCCCCGCGGGTGCTAAGTTTTCACCGGGAATATTTGGTCTGTATTTAGGTGTCACAGCATACACAGTTGAAATAAGTGGATCTACAGTATATACAGTTATTCCGACCTACCTACCCATACTTAGGGTTTCCAACAACTGAATCCAATGACAAGTGTTACTTCTGTCGTTTCATTTGGCCACAGCGCCCTCCCCTGTTTATAGCAGAGAGAAGAGCAGTTTGATCCTGTAACTGTAGTTTAAGAATTTACAGGCCACAAGAAATGTTGTAAGTATATTAATTAAACACAAATACCAACTTAAATTGAAAGCCAAAAGTAAATTTATCAATTAGCTAAGATTTGTAACCCAGTTTCTCCCTCATGCCGGGGAACTTTCCTCTAGGGAAAGAGGGATTGAGCCCCCTCTTTAGTCTTTGGGAATATGGAAGATTGATTGTGGACATCTTTTTGGCACCTTTAAAATTTTTTTTTCACTGAGGATAAAGTCCAGTCTTTCCTTGTGCAGCTGTGGTTACCGTGCCAGGGGCTGGGTCCTCCTCAGCTGGCACTGGCTCCTGTTGAGGTGGAGTCACTGGTCCTGGGCGTTAGAGGTGACAGCCTGGGGGCAGGGACTGCAGGGCCAAGGGACCATAGATGAATCTGGGGGGTTTTTTTGTCCTTTTTTTTTTTTTTTTTTTTTTTTTTGAGACAGGGTCTCGCTATGTAGTTCAGGCTAGTCTTGAACTCATGTTGTAGCCCAGGCTGGCCTTGAACTCCCATGATCCTCCTGCCTCAGCCTCCGGAGTGCTGGGATTACAGGCATGCGCCACCACTCCTGGCTCTCTGTTTTTTATTAAGTCCCCGAGTATTTTTAGGGGAAAGAGGACCATTAGTCCTTGTTGCCAACACAGGGCATAATCTGTTTCCTTCTGAGACCCTTGTCTTTATCATTAATGCAGTTAATCAGTTAATAAACGTAGTCCTCATCCGATCTGAACTGTGGCCAGAAGACAGATGGAGTGAGGGTAGGAGTTTCTGGCCAAATGAAACAACGATAATTTATCCTCCCGAATTTTCTTTTTTTTCCTTGAGACATGGTCTCCCTGTGTAGTTCAAGCTGGCCTCAAACTCAGTATGCAACCAGGCTGGCCTTGAACTCAAAGTGATCCTCTCGCCTCAGCCTTCCCAGTGCTGGGATTACAGGTGTGCGCTGCCAGGCCTGGAAACAGCTGTATTTTATCATCTGAGCTTTCTTTTTGCTTTTTGTCTATGGGTTGTTCAGAGTCCTTAACATCATCAGTCTGAGGAGACTATTGCAGTATTTTGTTCCTTGCTCCCCTTGGCTTTCCAACCTGTCCTGACTGGGAGGCACATAATTTTCCATTGTTTGTCCCAAAGCCTGAGGCTCAGTCCTCGGCATATGCTGAGGTATTCTGCCATTGGTTATTTTCAGTTTCACCTGAAATCATTTGGACCTCACCCAAGGTTGCTGGTCTCACCTGGGACTGTCACAGTCTCACCCAGATCGTCTCAACCTCACCTGAGGTCATCCTGGAACAGGGATAGAATAACCTAACCACCAGAGCAAGATTCAGTCACCCCCATGACTTTTCTTACTTTGGTTCATGCACGAAATTGCCTGGTCATCATTGTCTCCCTTTGGGCCCTTTTGGGTAGTTGAGAAGTCTTTATTGGGTCCTTAGTCCACAGGCTCAGTTTCTTGCGCCAGAGGCCACTGCAACAAGGCCCTGGGATATGTCTCCTCTTGGTGAGAGTTCTCATGCCTTAATAGGCTGGGGGCCCATGTTGGGCACCAGAAATTGTTGGAAATGAGTCCCCAGATTCAGTTTGTCTGTACAGATAATGAAGCACTTAGACATCAAGAAATCTTGACAAGGCTTTTATTTATTTATTTATTTATTTATTTATTTATTTATGTCTTTTTGAGATAGGGTCCCGCTATGCAGTTCAGGCTGGCCTTGAGCTCATTTTGTAGCCCAGGCTGGTCTTGAACTAGCAACAGTCCTCCTGCCTCAGCCTCCTGGGTGCTGGGATTACAGGCATGTGCCACCATGCCCAGCAGGGCTTTTACTTTTCCAGAAGGGCACAAGCACACATTAGCAATGAGGTTAGCAGGTGCATGGGACAAAGGTGGGTTGCCCTTTTGATCCCTAACATGAGAGGAGCATCCGAGCTCTTTCCCATTGGCTGTTCCGGAGGTTCACTATGGATCGCAGTTGGCACAAGGGGAACCTGAGGGGTTGCTGAGGGAATACGACAGCAGAGTGAGGGAGACATGGGCACCAGAAAATCCTTGGCCTGAGATAAGCCGTCTTTGGTGTGTAGCTGTGTTCCCAGGGTTGGAACTGAGCGGGCATGTTCTGTAACAATGTGTTCACAAAGGGCTATCTAGGGTAGGCTGGAGCTCAAGATGGAGTCGCTCCTGTTTTATAGAGAAGACAGAACTTGCTCTTTCAAAGTTAAGAGTTTAATTCCTGGCCCACCGAGCCTGTCCAGGACAGCACGGCCCCCAGAGGGGCCTGCAGCCCTCCCGTAGTGCAGGCTGGCACACAGCAGCAGTCAAGACCTCAGGAGGACCGACCACCACAGCCGCGCGAGCCCCTGGAGACGGCTGAAGCAGTGAGAAGAAATTACTCTGAGTTGTTTCCATTGTAATCTCTCCTCTGGGCCTTTGTGTGTTTTGGTTTGGTTCCTTTGAATTGGCTCAATAAATCATTTTGTTTGCTCTCAGAATTCCCGAAGGAGAACATTCAGATCTGTACACAGGAGTCCCGTTGGGCTTAGCCATCCATTTGCCAGGGGCCCGGGTTGTTTACTCCCTCTGGAGCCAGAGCAGGGCCAGCCAGGGGCGGTCTGTTGCTCACTTGTGACCCACAGAGGGGCATGGAATTTAGAATTTGGAATGGGGTGGGCACCAGTCTTCACAGTCAATGGAGTAGCTATGCAGATGCGGGCCACTTCTTCCTGAGGCAGTAAATCGAGTTCAGCCTCTTCCATGTTAGGCAGTTGTGTCAGGCTCTCCATGACTCAGGTGAGTGGGGGTGACTTGCAGTCCACACCTCTGTGGTCATCCCGTGCCCTAGCCGGTGTGGGCGGGGACACCCGCCTTCCTGTATAGTATGTGTGTGAGTGTGTGTGTGTGCGCGCGCGTTGGCAGAGGGACTAGGGACAATGGGTTGGTGAGATCGGGAAAACTGGAAAGTCAAAACATTCATCTGAAGCAAGGCATCTCCATGAAAATTTGTCACCCAGCCTAGAGCTGTGACCTGTGTGGGTTTGTTAGCGCACCCAGGGCTGCGTTATGTGTTCACACACAGTAAGTGTGCTCTTGTCTCGTGCTGGGAGAGGTCAGAATCATCACTCGTCTTCTGCTTCAGATTTAAATGGGTTTCTCTGCTACATTCCCTGCAAGCCCATGTGTGTGGTGGTACTGCCTGATGACGTGGCTGGGTGACGCGTTTCTCTGTTGTGCTGTGTCCTTGGCTTCTTCCTGTGCGTCAGCAGTCATTAGCTTCCCTGACCTTGAACGTGACACCCAGCCCAACCTCGAGCACACCGTGGTTCGTGGTGGAGAGCAGAGGATGCCAGAGCGTGCCCTGCGCCAGCTGGGCCTCCAGGCCTCAGGTCACAAGTGCTGCTCAGGCCTGTGCTGCTGCCTGTAGGGACACCTTTCTTCTTGTCAGAAATTACCATTTTTACTCTAAGCCTCTTTCTATGATCATATCTCCGCTTCTAATGTTTGATCCATGTGGGTTTTCATGGAACGTGTGTGTGTGTGTGTGTGGAGTGCACACAGCGTGGGATTCTTCGTGTTTTTTTTGAAATTTCTAAAACTGAGCTGCCCACTAACTGCAGCTGCTGCCTTGGGGTCCACCAGCACCACTGCTCGGTACTTCCTGTGGGCTGCCGGTCCCCTGCTAGGAATGCAGTAGCTGTGAGGACCTTTAAATTTAATTCAGCAAACATCTGTCCTCATAGAAGGGCCTCCCCTTCCCTCTGCAGTGTTCCTGTGCATTGGTTTGGGGCTTATTCTGCAAGGGGAACAATATAATACAGGACACATATTTTATATGATTATTTATAATAGTCACCCAAAGAAGGATATACTGAAGAGTGCAGGAAATCTGTCCACACACCAAGACCAAGGAATCCAGCCAAGGGCCTGGATCCCACGAAAATGACCTGCATGAGTCTAGCTGAAGACCTAGAGCTCATAAGAATGCCTCCCACGAATCCAACTGGAGGCCCAGAGCCCATGACAATGTCTCATGCAGGCCTGTTTCACAGATCTATGCTGGGAAGGCCCCAAGGTCAGTGGTGGAATGTGTAGGAAGTCTGTGCCAGCAGGCTGAGGGATCTGCACTGGAGCCAGGAAGCGACTCTCAGAAGAACCAGAGCTCCCCTGAAAGGCACCACAGCCATCCTCAGCAATAGTGAGGTCCAGAGTTCCTCCAGTGATCAAGATGGCCAAGTTCCTGTCAGGAAAGCCAGTGCAGCAAGCTTCTCAGGAAACTGGTAGTGTACCATCTTCCCCTTGAGAGCCAGGAAGCTATGCTCAAAGGGAGGACCAGAGCTCCCCCAAAGTGAACCATAGCCATTCTCAGTGCCAATGAGGTCCCAAGCTCCTCAGAGGATGAAAACAGTCAAGTTCATCAGGAAAGCCAGCATGACGAGCTCCTCCACAACAACCAACAGCTCCTTACAGCTTTGACCAGCTCCCAACAGCCTCTCTCAACTCCCAACTGCCTTTCTTCACTCCCAACAGCCTCTTTAGTTACAAAAGCCTCCTTCTCCTTCTCCAGTTCTGCCTCTTACGCTGCTGGCAACAGTTCTCAGGTGGGCCTCCCGCACCCGGCACCACGCTTACTCAGTTCACCTGGGGGTTATAAGTTGACCACCAGTTATCAATCCACTACACCCTGGATGTTGCTTTCAGGGGTGAGGTCACTGGTCAAGGGACAGTCATCTTGGTTCCTGATGATCTTGTCAAGAGACCAACAGATCTCCACAAGGCCCTAGAGTGCCACAGTGAACCTCTGGGTGGGGGTCTGACCTTCCCGCTATCCTGTTCTATCTGCTTCTCTCCTTCTGACCTGAGGTCCCCAAGAGGCACTGGCAGCACATGGAGCCCAGATGCTGCTCTGTTCCTCAGCACTGGGGTCGGTGGGGGGGGGGGGACTTTGACAGTGGCACCCTTGCCCCTGTGTGCTGGCAGTGTCCTGCTCATCCTAAAAGCAGCCAGCAGTCTTCATCCTGAAGACATCTCTACAGTCCACGTCCTCCTCCCATCCCCATGGGCCCCCTGTCATGTATTCCTCCTTGTGACATTCCCTGTAGGTGTCTGTGCCCTCCTCCTATCCCCGTGGATGGCTTTTTCATGTATTATAAGCCCATTTTCTTCTCCTGGTGTTAAACATCGAGTTCCTGAAGAGCAAGGCCCATGTGAACAAAACATGACTGACGTGGTGATGATGGACACTGGGAAGCAGGAAATGAGGATTTAGCATGGGCGGTTGTTATTTGGAAACTGCATCTGATGGCAGGAATAGAGATATGACTCCAGTGGCCATAGATTTAGGGGTTCAAGCTCTCATGTGAAGAATGTTTGGAGGAGAATGGTTAGGGTGGATGTTGGGGTGTCCCAATGTCATCAGGATCTCTGGCTCTGTGTGGACCCCTTTAATGCATGGCTCACCTCTTCAAATAACTTCATGGCTCAAAGTCTGTTGAATCTTGACTATCATATGCCTTGGTGTAGATTTTTTATCATGGCTAATTGGAGATCTATATGCCTCACTTACTGTATGTCAAATTCTTTTTCCCTGCTTGGGAAGTTTTCTGCCATGACTTCTGTGAATGGGTTTATGTCATTTGCACTATCTCCTGCTTTTTCATTGACTCCAGTCAATCTTATGTTATTCTTCTCTGCACCATCTAGCAGCAGCTGGATTGATTTCTCATGGTCCTTTGGTATTTTTAAGAAATCTTTTTTTTCATGATCACTAACTGCATATCTTCTATATCTGAGATTCTGTCCTCACATTGCTCCTTCTGATGAGCACACTTTCAATGGAATTTTTAATCTCCTGGATATCTGTTTGAATTTGTTTCATGGATTCCATTTTTTTCCTATGTTGGGCATTCTGATTTCCATCATTTCCTTAAGCTGCTCTATTTTTTGTGTGTATGTGCTCTAGAGTTACTGAGCATGACTTTCATTATGGTTACCATCTCTGTACTTATTTGAGAAATTATTCCTGATTTTATTTTTTCTAGAGCCTCCTTCATCTGCTTTGTTACTTCCACTGTTACTACTTTAGAGAGTCCAGGTAGGTGGCTGTCAAATTGTTGTACCTCATTGCTGCCCTGGATTTGCCTTTGGTGAGCTGGAAGTCTGGAGTTGCATCTTGCTTAAACATCTCACTTCCTTTTTTTGTTTGTTTGTTTGTTTGTTTAGTTTAATGTCTGGGTTGATGCTTGTAGATTACTTATGGAAAGTAGCTTTATTGCTAGTATTTAGAATGCTTAGGAAATAACTACTCAGACGTGTCTTCCAGGTGTAGCTGGCTTTTGGGTTTTGAGTCTTGCAGAATCCTACCTCTTGTTTATTGGGAATGAGAAGTTGCTGCCCACTTGGCCCAGACCCTGGTTCTTTGGCACTGACCTATAATATTGCTTATGGCCCTTAGGCAATCTCAGTCTTGGTATATCAGGATGAACAACTGATTAGAATAAGGATGTCAGCTTGGATTAAGTGGTAAATCAGCAATAATAGTGGCATCAAACATAGCCTAGAAAAATGACAAATTGTGGTAACCATTAATTTGCCACCTTTAATCATATGAACTAAACTTGTGGTTATGTAACAGAATCTAAAATGAACCAGGAAATTGTATGCAGTAAATAAGCCCTCAATATGGCAGTTTTATCCTCACTTCAATGCATGTCTCTGCTGTCACTGGTAGACAATGTGGGTAGACAGAATCCAGATTCACACTGATTAATCCCAGCAAGCCAGCCATAGCTGTATGGTGGGGTAGTTGATAATCCCAACAAGCCTGCGCCTTTAGTTCCACTGAAGTTCAGGCTGTTTTTGCTGTATGGCTGGAACCCAGTTTGTTCAGCCTGTACCACTCTGTTTGCCTCCTGCTGGCTTCAACTCACTCCCTACCAGTTTAAACTCAGCAGCCTGTCCCTGTCACCCGAATCCACTAGATGGAGCTGGCCTACAGCTCTCTGAGTGACAAGCTCAGTTAGCCCCTCTCCAAGATGGCTCCTGGCCAGTTACTCTCTCCTGGGGGACGTCTGAACCTGGACAACTCAGTCTTCTGTATCTCCTGCTCCATTCCACTGGTGCATTCCTCCTTCCTCTGTGGAGACCTCTGGGGTCTCCAGTGGTCACCGTGCACCTGCAGGTTCAAGCCACCCCCCCCCACACACAGTGAGTTCAGGCTCCGGGAGAAAGTACTGCCTGCCGCCTCCTGCTTCTTTGTTGAAATCTCTCTTCACTCTCCCCACGGGCTGCAGTTTTTTCTTCAGATCCTTCCTGGGCCCCAGACACCAACTTCTCTCCTTCTGCTCTTTCTCACATTGCTATATTCCAGTGTTTGGAGAGGCCCTTTCTCTGCTGCTCACCACTCCACCATCTTCCTGGAAGTCCCCATCTTCATGGCTTAGAATGAATACTGAATCCCAGCCATTTCTTCTGTCTCAGGCATGGAGGATGAAAAGTGCAGTATGTAAAGACAAAGTATTCTTTCCATGACATTGGCCTCCTTGAAAAATAGCTTAGGGTCTGTGGGGAGCCACTGCAGAATGCTTCACAGCTCGGGGCATCCAAGACCGTGACTCCACTGTTTATGCAGGCACTCAGCAGGATATGCTTATATAATCATGACTTAGCATTAGCCGATCACACATGTGCTACACGGTTAAGTCAGTAGAGTGTAAATGTGTGATAACGGCATATATAAGGGCTAAACCATAAAGATGCAGATGCTCTCTCTGCTGTGCTGCTGCTGTTGCTGGTGTCTGTTTTGTGTGCTTTCTTTGGGAACCTCATTGCAACAATACCTCTTCAGTCCCCTCAACCCTGATAGAGTCCCTACCCAATAGCTTTCTTCTTGGTGGCATAGCCAGACTGCAATCACATAGTTACCTCTAGCTCTGTTTTGAAGAGATGTGGTAACAAGGGGTGACTCCATTCACGAACTCAATTCTCCTGATTCTGGATGCAAACCAAATGGGATAAGAACTAAATCAAATTTCCCCAGAAGGTCAGCATTGAACCTAACCTCTGAATTTGGTTCAGTTCTCGTCCAGCTCAGTTTGTGACCAACATCATGGAAAGAATCAGGTTCATGAACCAAGGCACCACTGTAAACAGTCTATTTGTGTTTTTGATTAAAAATAAATTTATTGGGGCTGGGGATTTAGCTCAGCGGCAAAGTGCCTGCCTGGCAAGCGCAAGGTCGTGAGTTCAGTTCCCGGTACCGGAGAAAAACCAAAACCAAAAAAAA